TCTCCACATGCTGACCTGCCAGTAGGCTGCAACCTTGATTTGACAGATAAGTGCACAGCATCTTCTGAGGAGCTGGAGGAAGGAGCTCAGCTCCCTTACTCAAACACCTCATAATCTCTCTTGGGCAATTACTGCACATCAGGGCAGAAAGTTCTCACGGAGTGCAGCTGGCACTGAGACTCATTTCACTTCCTTGTGCTCGAATCTCAGCATCTTCGGAATTGAAATGACTAGCAAGTTGTCACAGGGAGCCAGAAATGGCCCCTCTACAAAATGAACACTCTGCATCTGTGGGCAGCCACAGCAGAATAGCACTTCCACATGTTCTCACGCTGTCTTATTGTCCTCTGCCACCCACCTCACTTAAGCTATTTATGCCGTGCTCTACACAAGATACTCACACTTCCTTAGAGACGGAGAAGATAGACAAGGAGTCTGATGGTTGCTTTATGACAACTGGTTGGATTACCTCCACTGCCTGGAAGCTGCCTCCGCAACCACTGCTCTCTTGCAGGTTGCAATAAGAGGCAGCCGTTGTGTTGAGGAGGGGCAAAAGATCCTTGTGTTCCTGATTGGTGGTGGATGGAGCTGGATTCCCTAGTCTATCTGTCACAGCTGGGCAGGCTGACAGCTAACAGGCCTTCTCCCTTCATCCAGAAAACACACAGGGACTACACCACTAAAGGAGGAAGAGGAGGAGGAGGATCCAGGCACTTGCTCCACTGCCTTTGCGAAATCCCAGGACCACGACATAACCATGACAACTACTGCTCTGCAACCAGAGGAGTGAGTTGCGGCCAGCCATGAGGAATGGCAGACAAAAAGCAGAGGTAGAAGCTGACAGAAAGGGGGTGACTTGGCAGCCTGTGGTGTGAAAACAGCCCCTGTGCCTCGCACCACTGCCAGGGAGGCACACTCAGCATCCAGGCACACCTGGACCAGCCGCGTGGCTCTTGGCTGCTCTTATTATTCTCTGCAACCCTTCAGCATGACTCTTGACAGAAAAATTACCAAATGTAATGCACTTGTGACTTAGTTAATTTGCACCTGTATCTAATTTCAGACCTGCTAGAATAACAGAGCAGTTCTGTAATCAAAAATGGAGGGAAAAAAAAAAAAAGCCAGACCTGCCACTCACCGGCTGCTGCGGGGGAAACTGCCTCCACTTCATACAGGGACCCCACACGAGAGCTTTGCACGAAGGTCACAGCAGGACACAGAGATTTCCCTGAGAAGGGACAAAGCAAACCCCCATGTGTGGGACTCAGAGTGAGCCTATAGCGATTCTCAGTGGCAGCTGGCATTCCTCCCTGCTTTCTCAGTCAGCAGTTTCTTCAGTTTCCTAAATGTCTCTGCGCTTTCGTTTGGGGAGATTGTTCTGAGCAGTTTACAATTGTCTAGTTGTGGCTAGCGGCCTTGACTTTTTGAGAGCCAGAGGGTGCCATATTTCATGGCCAGAGAAAGCACTAATGAGATAAAGTCCCTCTGGCCCTTGATTGTGGCTCATTAGGGTACTAGTCACAATGCCTCAGTTTCTCCTCGAGGCTCTGTGAAGCCAAAGCTGTTAGACTTCATGTGTCATTTTTAATCCTCTCCCTCAGTCCCTGCAAGGGTCTATCTATCTCTTCCACAGTATTCAAGATACAAAATGAGATTTAAGAAAGTCAAAATCACTTCGTTTTTGGCAGGTATCCCAGGACCCTTACACAGAATAGTGCCGGGGGCTCAGCCCAGCCTGCTCTACACCATGCAGTGTAGCACACCAGCCCACAAACCTCATCTGGGCTCACCACTGGACCTTGGGCTGGCCTCAGCCTGCCCAGCCATGGCCAGCAACTGCCTCTCCTTCATTGTCTGGCACAGAGCTGTGATGGCAAAAATGTTTTTTTCTGAAGAAAACCAACAAGGAAGAGCTTTGGTTTACTTCTTGACCAACTTCTGTGTCCAGCCCTCCCCAAAGAGGGCCTATCTATATCTGTCTCACTCGCTGGTGCCCCCTTCCTGCATGGATCCCATCGCAGCATCTCCAGATATTCCTTGCATCCTGATGACCTTTAACCCAGGTGCAATTCTATCCTGTCACACGACCACTAAATCATCTCAACCCATCCCCAACCTTCTTCCTACACCTTCCCTCAACAGCACCTGCTCCTTCCCCAGTGAGTGTGGTGATTAACCCCAACCATCTTCACCGTGAGGGGAGCTGGAGACAGTACAGACACACACACACAGCATGGAGCAGCCTGCACTTTTCCACTTTGAAAGACCAACAGCCTTCAGTAGAGCTGCATAGAGAAAGCAGATTGGGACACAAAACATTTTGAGATCTTCAGATGAAAGGGGTTAGTACATCATTAACATCAATTTCTTTGGAGACATATGTTAAGCACAGGTCTTGGAATATGTAAGTCTGATATTTTAACCTTGTCTTTCTCACTGACCCTACACCTCTAACCCTGGTCAAGCATTTCTAGGCTAAAAGAAGATAGGTTCTAACTGTCCTGTCTTGCCAGGCTGGCTGTTGTGGTTCTGTAATTAGGTACAGCCCGTAGATTGCTGTAAATGTACAGGGCAATATGTAGGCATTATCTATCTATAACAGCCTCCAAACTCAGCATACTGCAATAGCAGGTGTACCACAGCAATATGCTCCCTGAGGAAATAGGTCCTTCCACCTCACAGCCTTGCTTCTCTCCCTGTGAAAGTGCTCTCCTGGGCAGCCTGTACAGACAATAGCCGCGCTTTACAGCTGAAGATGAGGGTTGAACCAAGAGGAAGGAATTTCAGACGCTGTCTTGGGATGTTCTCACACATCATGCTATTATCCAGTGGTCTCTGCACTGGAATACAATTCCAGGAGTGGTTGCTCACTCATCCAGGGAGAATAGTGCAAAGCACAACCACTGATCCATGCTGATCATCTCATCACTGCTGAAATTTCCTCCCAGTGATGCCCTGTAGCAACAGAGCTCAGAGAAAAGTCTGGGTGAAGGATATGCACTTCTGTCTTCAAAGGGAAAGCTGAATCCACCATTCTCATCCTGACATAGGAGCACAAAGGCCATGAAAAGCCCACGCCAGCATTCACACCAGATCCACAAGAGAGAACGACTATGGGGAGTGAGGCAAACTCCGGACACCGAGCAGTGTCAAGGACTTCCTTTGCATCATATTTGGCTCCCGCAAACCCTCTCCTTTAGGAAGCTGAAGAACTGTTTCACATTCATAGTACCTGTGCAGGAATTCTTCTATGCCAAATAGCCTTTATGTGAAAGAGTCTTTCTATGCTTAAAACTACTAGCACAGAGGATCTGGAATCCTCTTAAGCCATGGTGACTCATGACTGGATAACTACCTGCCGCCCTGCTCCTCTGAGACAAGCAGCTACTGGACTGGCATTCATCAGTCCTCCTAGTTTCAGTCCTAGCAGAGAGGCCAAGCCTCAAGTACCCCAGGGAAACCAAACATCTAATCCCTCCAGGTGGTGCCTCCAGGGCAAGGTTGAAGGCGTATTAGCGATACAGTGTGGGAGAACTGTAGTGTATCTCAGGATTCAGAGCTATCAATCCAGTGCTGCGGTGGGGAGATACAAAATCTTTAATTAACTTTTGCTCACTTGCTCCCAGCGCTGGTGGAGGTGGGTGGATGTGATCGTTGCTCAAGGGAGGATTCTTCCCTCCCCCTGCTTTTGAATTCCCAAGCAATTAGCGCTCTGTATAGAGCAACATAAATAGAGCTCCTCAAGCCTGGAGGGTTTCAGTTTTGTTTTGTTCTGTTTGGGATGGGTTTGCCCTCCTACCTGTTCTATCAAAATACCAAGCAATTTATGGACCACTTTGCATGTGTTTGCACACCCTTTTTGCATCTTAACTGACAACCTACATGCTTTTTTAATTAAAATTTTATTGGCTTTTCCATGAGTGATGTACCTACTGTAAGTAAGCACGGTTCAGTACAGATAACATGTGGTTTGTTTAGCTATCTTGCAGGAGATTATTTCTGTTATCATTGTAAGTTGATTATTGTAATTATTGAAAGAGAGAAGGCTGACAGAGAGAGAGCATGCAGAAGGGAAATGGGGGGGAATTAAAAGATAATAATAAGAGATAATAACAGTTTCCTTTGTTCTTATTTTTTCTCTTGACAACCTACTGTACATGTTAAATTCCAGTTTAATGTTAGAGTCAATCCCTCCTGTTGCTAACACACCCCCATCAATAACACAAGGTCTTTAAACCCTGGATACCTGCAATTAAATTCGGTATCAAAGAAAGCCAGAAACTGCCTCTCTTGTTAGCACTACCAGCCCTCAAAATGCTTCTTTTCACCTCTTTCTTCCTAATTCATTTGATATTTTTAACCCTCTTTAGAAATTGTACGGCCTGAGTGTACACAAAATTAGAGACAAGCATTATGTGGGGAGGGTAATGTGTGTGCATGAAAAGACTGAGGGAGAGAGATTATACACTGCACAGATAACCCTGAGGTCCTGGCACCACTTTGAGGCCAGTGTATGGGATGGGAAGGTGGAAACCCCTGAAGGCCAATCACAATGCTGTTGGTGGAACACTGTGCTACCCTGCACTTGTCAGGAGGGACAGGTGTTCCAGTAGCAGCAAACATTCCCTGTTCATGAGAAATGCAAGAGAATCTTCAATTGCTGGTCGTCTCAGTAAGAAAAGTGCCAACCGTTGCAGGTGGGGGTTTTTTCCCACATTTCAGAGACGCTGGCCAATGCTTATAGCTACTGGAGGAGGATATCAGAAAGAATCATCAGTAGGAAATGGCAAGACCCTCATATAATTCAGATGGTGTTGGTAAGGTTACTTTTTTAGGTACTTTGATCCAGGCTACTAGGGCTTCCAAGGACTGAGACTTCTCTTAGAATATGAGAGGAGGGGATGGCGCAATTGGCTTGAGCTACTGAAGTGTTCTGGGCTGCAGCAATGTCTCCCACACCCCGATGACTCTGTGCTCAGTTGGGTTAGCAAAAAGGGAAAAGGATAGGTCCTTGTTTGACAGCATCACATCTGGGCATTAGCAGTAGTGATGTACGTTCACATCTCTACTAACTGGGTGTGTCCCACTGAACCACTCCCACCAGACTGCAACCCCCCTCCTCAGCAGGGATATGAAGGGTTTCATGGTCAACAAAGTCAAACACTGCAGAGACATGAGCGGGAAATCTGTCCTCTACGTATCAAATGCAGAAGTGCCACAAAAGCAGTCTCATTTAATACCCTGGCCTGACTCCAGCCAGAGCCCCTGTGTCATTCCAGGAATACTGCGAGCAGCAAACCTCACTCAGGTTGGGGGGGTCAGAAGTGAAGCCATCCAGCTAGCAGCTACTCAGATGCTTCTCAGAAAATCCTCCCAACAGACCAAGCCCCACGAAACCGACCTGAAAAACAAAAACCAAGAAATCAATGCTGTGCTCTTTGCAGGTTTTCTGCGGTAAATAAATACTGCATTACCTACACTGTGCTCACATTAAAGGATTTTCTTCACTATGGGTGGTTACTCACTTCAGCATATTTGGCATTTGCTTCCCCTCTTTGCCAGAGGACCTGATTTGTGATGTCTCATGAAACTTCAAAATGAAGTGCAGCTCTCCTTTTCTCTCACGGAAAAGGAGACTAACAAGCTGCACACCCTGGCTCACCTCTCCCAGGGAGGGAGAGCTACAGCCCATGTTATTGCTTTATAATGACATGACTATTTATGGTTGCAAAAGTTCTTGTCGTGGTTCCTCTAGTGAGGAGGAGAAAGACAGGAGATAAGACTTCGAAGGTCAAAACAAATGGGCAAAACAGGAGAGTATTTTTTCTACTGAGGGGGTGAGGGGAGAAAGGGGGAGAATATGCCCCTTGAGATCATCTGTGAACACACAAAAGCAGTAGGGATCAAAACAGCTGATTTTCATTTCAGGGGTAAAAATCCAGAGATCAGACTGTAAATATATTCACAAATAACCAATTTTACCATGCCTTCATTATCTAGCAGTGCCCACCCTGACCTGCAGGAAGCAATGCAATGAAAGAAACTGGAAGGAAAACATTTTTAAATTAACCCAGATTTCTCAAACCTTCTCGAACAGGCAAACAAACAAATAAAGCAGCCTGAACAGTCACTCACTTTTTGGATGCAAGCTCACGTCAACTTTTATTTTTCTGAATTGATTTGCTTGTCTGTATTGCTTGCCGCTTTTATTATTTGGTCCCTGAAAACGTTGTAAAACCCAACTAATAGGGGTACAAAATAGTAAGTTTTATGTACATTGCAGAAACTTGTATGTGATGCAGTTTGTTAAGATCTCTGCCATTTCCCCAGCAGCGTGTCAGGTTTGTCTAACACCCAGCCCCTGACTTACAGGTTTACGGTGCCGATTTATAGCGTTGTAAGTTTAATATAGTGGCGCGCTGTAAAAGGGCTTCTTCTTCTTTTTTCTTCCCTTTTTTTCTCCCTCCACCCCTCCCACCCCCTTTCCCTTAATTAATATTTTAGATCCCAGGAAAGCACCACAAGGGCAGGCGGCGGGAGCAGGGCTGTGATGTACGCCCGGAGCGCCTGGAGCGCAGTGCCCGGAGTAAGGGCTCCCGGTGCCGGGGCGGGCGGGGCTGCCCGGGGCAGTGCTGCCCCCTCCCGGCACCGTCCTGGCGAGCATTGCTTAAAAAGCCGTAATGATTTTAGGGGAAAAAAAAGAAGAAAAAAAAAAAAAAAAGAGAGAGAGAGAGCGCGCTCCCTAATTTAGAAGAAACAGCCAACCCCGCCCAAGATCGGGGCAACCAGAAAAATTACAAAAATTGGACAGACAACGGCCCCCTTAATCCCCTTTTGCTGCTAATGTTGGCATTGAAATGTCAGTAAGAGGGGCAAAAGCCAAAACATGGCAGCCCTTGTGCACTGATAGTAAAACATCAGCCTTAGGCACAGGAGGTCTTTCCTGTGCTTGGCTGATCCGCCTGGAAAGACTGTGCTGCAGCTGGGATAGTGTCACATGCTGGGGCCACTTCTTCAAGGCCTTCACCTCCCTGAAGCTTACCTCCAGCCCAATAGAACACCCCTGAAATGCTAGGGAACATCTGGGTAAACACAGGAAAACCAGCAGCATTGCTGCTACTTTATAATATAATAGAATCCTACAATATCCTGAGTTAGAAGGGATCCACAAGGTTTATTGAAGTCCAGCTCCTGGCCCTGAATAGAACAGCCCCAAAAATCACACCGTGTGCCTGAGAGCATTGTCCAGATGCTTCTTGAACTCTGTCAGACTCGGTGCTGTGACTTTTAATCTCCTTATTTGCCATTCTCCAGTGAGTTGTTTTCCCCAGATCCTCAGTGGGATCTAACAATACTGCCTGCAAAACCAAGCTGTATTGTCTTACAAGGGAGGAGATGTGGCAGAAGTAAGTTGCAAAGTGAAGATGCTTCAGGGACAGAGGAAAGAAGAGATGCTTTGGCTTTCACTGCAGACCCTCTTCCACTAAGCACCCTCTACTCAGAACATCTGCTTGCCATTAGCCGTGCCCATCACTAGAGTCAGCTCCTGCTTTACTCGCTGCTTCTCTCTGTCACTCTTCTCTCCTTCCCTAGAACACCAATTTGTCTGATTGTTTGCAATTAACTGTTGATTATGGTGCACAGAAGTCCAAAGAGGATAATTAAAAACCGTTCAGCCAGCAGCAGTGGAAAGAGTCTGCTGCTGTAGAAGAGAGAACAGTGCACAGTAAGCACATCCCTGCTCAGGGCAGGACAACATGACCTGTTGAGGACCAACCAGGCTGGCGTGCACAGGTAGGCAGGTTGTAGGGAGGGCAGAGCAAGCCAGAGGCTGGTGGTGATCTCAGAGAGCTTGGATGAAACACTGCAGCTTAGTGCTCCTGCCCCCAGAACATGTAAATAGGAGTAGTTCCCCTTCCCATTATACCAACAGGACCAGGAGCCCTGCAAGCACAGCATGCACCTGGGTCCATAGCAGCAGCATCAAGTCCCTGAGCAATTTCATCAGTAACTTTGCTGAATGGGTTGAAGAAACACACTTTTCTGCCTTCTCTAGCAGCATCTCTTTTTAGACAAATTGTCAGTGGAAAACCTTTCAAGAAATCACCTTGCTGTGAAATACGCTTTTGTTGCATGAAATAAAGCACACAGGCAAATGCTGGAGCTGATAATACAAAGTGCCCTCTCAGTCCTGTGTCAACACAGATCATTTTTATACACAGTAATAGACAACATGGGGTGTTGAGGAGAAGCCTGGGCAGGAACAAAGTACACATGATAAATTTAAACCTTGGACGACCAAGTGCAGGAAGCAGAGTTTTATTGAGGTACAGGCATTTTGCCTTCCCAGTTATACAAAAAAGAATTGCAAGTCAATTAGAATGAAGAAACGTCTGTCCAGCTGTACAGTCCACAGACCTCAGAGCCTCTCTCAGATGACACCTGTAAACAAGAACAGCCTGTGACTCTGTAAAGGAAAGTGGGAAGAGGAGTCTACAGTTAGGACTGCTGTTTGTCTTTAATACCATGTCAGAAAATAAAAATAAAAAAAAATAGCTTTTCAACTTGAAAAATAAATAGCTTTTCCAAATGAACCATGTAACCAGAAGGAGCTACCGAACCTGCTCCACCGTGGGTGAAACCAAGTCTTGGTACATGGTCAGCTGAACCAATACAGATGTTTCGGCTGAAAGAAAGGGACCTTCTTTCTTGGCCCCTTGTCTTTCTTTAGCTCCCCACTTCTCCTGATCCTGTGAGCTAAGTTGTCCATCTCCTGGCCCCTTGATCCAACTCTTGTTGCTCAACAAACCCCCCAGTGAACTATATGAATCATTAGCCTGGCAGGATACGATCCTAATTTCTGGGGTGGTTTCTGCTATTTTAATGAGTTAAAGCCATTCAGGGTATAACACAAGCAAGGTAAGGATCTTAAATGCGGCTAGAAGAAAAAAAAACTTCCTTAAAAGGAGAATAGCACAATGCCAAAGCCTAGTGAAGTGTTTCAGTATATTACAAGAAAAAAACCTCAACTAAATCCCAACCTTGACCTGTATTTTGGTGATCATCTTGTACCCCAGATACAACCAGCAATGCAGAAATGGGTAAAAATGAAGAATAAAAAGAGTAATTGAACTGCTTTGATTTTCAAAGAGAGGTTCAGGACAGCCCAACTATGGTTACAATGAATATCTTTTTTTTCCTCCATGGGAGATCTGTAGGGATATAGTTGCTGTAAAGATAAGGGCTCAGCAAACTGGTAAGACATGATTGCAGAAACTGTGCCATGCTGCTACAACAAAGCACAGTTCAAGACACAGATACAATATTTTCTCTGAAAAAGGTGGAGCTAATTACAAATCTCTTGTCTTCATAGAACTCTGCTTCTTGGGTTCATTTCATGAAGCCTAAGCAAAGAAAATGTGAACAGCTGGGATACCAGAGGCAGAGTGAAAAGGAGCAGGAGTTCTGTGCAGGAGAAAATGCAAAAATACAAACTGAATGAGACTTGATACATTAGGGAGGAACTCTGCTTTGACTTTTTTTTAATAATATCCCACAGCCTGAAGACACAATGCTAGTGCTGTAAGAAAATAGCTTTCCTCTGAAGCCTGATGTTTCAAAGGAATCAAGGCTTAAAGTCCCATTAGATGCTTGTTTAGGGACTAATATGTTTAGCAGCTGTAAAACCTAACTATAATGTCTTGCTGTTTGTCCACTAAATCGCATTATGCTCTAGCAGTGGGATGTATACTCTGCTTAGCTGTCCTGCCTGTCCCCAAAAGTAGAGTTTTCTCCCTGAATGTGCCACTAGCATTATATGTTCTAGTTCTAGACCTTGCATTTAGGGCTGGTCAAGAAGGATGTGGAAAACATCTCTGAAAGACCTGACCTCCTGCCAGGCGGCTCAGAAGCAACACAGGTGAGACTTGAACTGAGATTAAAAAGAACAGTTTTTCTTTGTAAGAATCTAAGAAGCAAAGGGTAACTCCTGAAATACAGAGCTGTGGGACACTGCTTTATTACAGCGACACAGTGCCTCACCCACAGTTTTACTGATTTCTGCACTGTTGGATGATGGACAGGTCTAAAGGGGATGAAGGTTTTCTCATGACCGGCACCATCTTAAAACAAAGCAGGCATTCCATGTTTCATTTACAATTTCAGCAGGAGCTTTGCTCTCTTGAACCTAGTCTGCTTTGGTCCATGGATCCTATCCAACAGAAAGTTTCATCAAAACTTGATTACTCACTGAATCTGTGTTTCAGTGGACTGATAAGTCCCAGTGTCCTGGCATTCAGGCTGCTAAAATGTGACACCTTGAAGCCTCAAATCTTCATGTCAAACATCTAATTTACCTCAGTCCACTGACAGGCTTTCTTTCCATTCAGAGAAGCTGTTCTCAGTGTTTACAAAGTCATCCTTGCAGCCCAGTCTAGCTTTTCTACTGAGCCTCATAGCCCAGTGACAATTTTAAAGCTCTCTCTACTGCTGTGGATGTGGCAGACCCAGGACTGACAATCCTCAGAATTCAAATCAATAAATCATGCCCCGAAATTGTGAGTTTTGTCCAAAAGTTGTAAGAACAGATAGATTACTTAGGGACAATTTCAATTTCCCTTAGTCTGTATTTCCCTGTGAGTAGCTGGCTGGAGATCTGGGCTTTTTAGAAAGAAGGAAAGAACAAAGACATTAATTCCATGCTCCAGGAGACAGACCTGCAAGACGTAAAATCCTGAGCTGGCAACATCTCCAGCCTTGGGGTCTCTAAAGTGCCACTGGGTGAAACCAGCCGTCATAGCTCATCAGCAGAGAGCAAATACAAAGTTTATTGTCTAATCATTGTTTCTGGAAGAATTATCTATTCTTTATCTCTGTGAGAGCGTGAGAGATTAAGTTTGGAAGCCTATTAGCCACCGCTGAAATGCCATTGTTATCATCCACTGTTAATCGTCACGCCTGACTCTAATGCACTTAATCAGAGCAGTTGACACTTGGGCTCTAAATGAGAGTCAGCCA